TTGAAAAAGTTCATTAAATCAATGCCAACCTGGGTAGTTAAAAGAACTCCTCACCATAAAAAATGAAATGAAATAATACATAATTATACTATTAAACAATCGATATATTAAAGTCTCTATATTCTATAAAATAATAAAGAGTATTTAATTACATCTAATGAAACTTTTCGATCGTCTATACTATACCAATATGCATTTAGTATGTATGTGTAAAAGAGTTTTGACTCATGTTACAATCATTTGTAACTAGCACATGTAAGCCCGGAACCAAAGCTTGTGAGAGAGCAGCAGATAGTTGGTAATGTTGTGCCACACTATTTCTGACGGTTCTCTATAATTAGAGCACAACGCGGGAGTAGTGCATATGTGCAAGCTACGTCGACAAGGGAGTCGTGGGAGAGATGCAAAAAGGGGCGCAGGACAAAGAGAGAAAGAGCTGGGATATTTCACAATGTAGTAATGCCAGAGAAATTATCCAATTCGGGAAAAGGGAAATGTGTGGCATCATAACTGTTAAAAATAAACAATAAATAATCCTTATTTACATGATAATATGTTTTTTTACACACTTCCTTATGCATTAGACTTTAATAATTAAAAGTTAGCTTATGCTTAGGAAGTTATCATACAATGATGGAATAGAAAAAGTTTATGATATTTTGTGGTATTTTATACGGAAAAATACCCGAGCTTGAATTTTAACAATATTTGTTATAATTAAATAAAAATTAAACTCTAAAAAATAATATCATGTTTTTATAGCAATAAATAAAAAAATATAATGAAAATTTACTATTTTAGATTGTAATTATTGAGATGTCACAATTTTTATTAAGTACACATTACGAATTATTCTCTGCATTGAATTAATTAATTAAATTCTAATATTATTAGAAGGAAATAAGAACCATAATAATAGAAATACTTTTTAAGAGATTGTTAATATAAAAATATCCGGTATACTAAAATATGCCTTTAGTTTTTTAAATTATAAAAAATAATTATGACAAAATGATGTTTTTTAAACAATTTTTACAAACCTTTGTTAATTTAATATATTAATTTTGTCATTTTAATATCAACTTTGTAAAAATATAAAATGTTGATTTGAAAAAATAATGTTCACTTAATCGTAATTTTTCTAAAAAGCTTTAAAATTTTTAATAAAAACTCGAATTGTTTCTAGATTTACTAAAAGCTTATTAATTTTTATTTAATTTTAATTAATATATTTATTAGATACCACATATGGACGTTTTTTGTTCAATAATTGTTGGTAAATAGTCAAGGAAAGTACATGAAATGTTCTAGAAAGTTCTTTAGTTGTTATGTATTTCATTTATAGCACAAATAGAGCTTAGGTCATGAAGAAAAAATATTACCAATAATTCAATTGTTTTATTGATTAATTTTTTGTTATGAAATATTTAATCTATAAAACAAGGAACAAAATGTCTTATTTAACAATTTCTCGCTTTTAGAATAAATTACATTTTATGCTAATTAAATGATTATGTTATCAAGTAATACCTCATTGTTATATTTAAAACTATTTATTTGTTTACTTATCAACCTATTTGTTTCCCGCAGGAAATTTATTCAAAATTATTCTGTGAAGTAAAGATATATTTTACAAACGTTTTAAAAAGTTAGCAAAATATCTTCAATACAACTCCGTGACTTTTATTCTGATTGAAAATTCACATTGGAAGGTACCAGGGGCAATAGCCGCATACGGTCACGCACGTGTAAGACGAAAAACCTTTGAAATATTCAGACTTGAATTATATATATATATACTAAGTCTTATTGTATATCGAGCTCAGATTACGTCACTTTCTGAGGAACATTTTTAAATTAGTCTAGACTTTAGCATCATTTATAAATTAATCTAGATCATTTCCTTTTTAATTTAGATCTCATCTGTTATTTAAAACTAATATTTTATAATTCATTCCTCTTCTTATATTTTCTTCAACAAATCAATTTAGATAATTAATCCAAACTTTAAATAATACTCTTAAATATACACATTCTTATCCTAACACATACACACACATACTGATACTCTTTTGTTTTCATTAACCTCATTATTCGTATGTTAACCAAATGTATACGAACCTATCTTGATCTAAGTTCCATGAAAAAATACGTATCTGATTGCAAGAGAAAATATAGCAGTTGTAGAAAAAAAGAGCAAAAGCAAAGATTGAAAATACAATTGCAGACAAGAATATATAACTTATAAAATTTTTATTAATTCATCTCTATATTCTTCAACTGCAAGCAATAACAAATGCATTCAGGTTGACATTCAGAGAATGAGTGAGTTGAGGGAATATTGATTCCAAGTCAAAACTATCAAGCTTCAAGCATAGTAGTAGTCCACGTGCTCTTCAATATACTCCTCTCTCGTGGCTATATGACGGTTTCTCATTCGAAATTCAAGATTTATAGCTAATTACTTTTCCTCTTTCAGTGATGCATCGATTCTACCATATAAATTTCCGGATAGCCAATGTACTGCACATATTTGTGGCACACTTACTTACCTGCTCTAGAGTATGTATCAAGGTTTTTCATTAAAAAAAAATAATTCATGTTCTTGATGTGTTTGAAGTCAATAAAAAACAGCAAGATATATCTGGATAAAAATCGTTGTAATGTACAGAATGGTTAAGAAATGATCGATTACATATAGATAATTGATGAGTTTGTCACTTGAAATCTTCAATCATCAGTTAGCATTGAGACCATTTAGGTTTTTTCTAGGTTACACATTATTTCTTGATCATTATCTTCAAGGATCTTTAGCAGAAAATTCATTAATGTTCTAACATGGTATCATGAAAACTGGACTAAAGATACATTTTGGATAATTGCTTCAACTTGTACCACATTCAAATAAGCAATTCAAAAGTTTAACTATTCTCTAAATCTCTAGAGTGTGGAAATAATTATTTAATTTTCTCTGAATATCTCCCTGTAACGTTGAATTGTCTTTGTGCATGATTGCATTCGTCGTTCGGAGACTGTATTGCACAAAATTATTTACTGAATTACTTTACGTCCTGCATAATTACATGCTTGCTTTGGAAACTCTCCTTCATGACCCGTTTAACCACAATCTATACATGCTATGTATGCACGTGGCTATGAATTTAGAAGCTTGTATATTCTCATAATACCGTCATTCTGACTTGACATGTCTCTTTTTAGACAACAAAACGTGCTTTTGATATGTTTTAAAGATGTTTTTCATCAGCAATTATTGTTTGGGAAGAATAAAAGATGCTTTTGTGTGCTTGGTTTTTATTTTATACTAATAGCAGTAGGTACTGAGATGATAGCGTTAATATTTTAGAGATTTTAGGATATTTTTTTCATCATGTTGGAGCAATTTTGTTTTCAATTTTATCGTATTTTAATGATACATAATTATAGTTTTATGAAAAATCCAGAATAAAATATATCCAATCTTGGATACTTTTTTTCAAAATTCTTTAAAACTTGATCTATTTTTTAAATAACTCAGCCCAAAATGGTCCTCATTTAGTGCTTAATTGATGTACAGTACCACTTCTTGATAGTTTTTAAAAAGAAAGTTAAGTGTCCTAAAATTTCATACATGAATGTACGAAAATTCCTTCAAATTTAATGCTTATTTATTCTTCACTCAACCTGAATGTCAACTCAAACTTTTAGTATAAATAGAACTGAATATGCTGAGTTCTGCAATTGCTGATGATGCTGAAGTTATAAATTCAAAAAAAAACTTTATTTTACAAAGGTGTTCTGAATGTTGAAAACGATTCAATTTTTCAGTAGCTCTAAAGTGATTAATTAACTTTGGCTGAGGTTAATGTTTCTAGCTTGATTCTCCAAATTCAAAAAAATGTTTATCACCATCTAATAAATAAACAACTTTAGTATTTATTAAATTATCATGTTGACATGTTCTACTACCATCTCTCCTCATTTTTTTGTTTATCTACAAAGTTATGTAAGCAATTGTTGCTACAATGTATGTATGTCTTGATACGAAGTTTATGGTTCAAGAGAACTCGCTGAAAGTATAACTTGAGATATATATCGCAGTCTGTTGGCGCTTGGAGTTTCTGTCTCTCGATCTCCACTCATGCACTCTTCCAACTTAACCACAACAGCTGTGACGTTTGGTCTTGGAATCATATATTGAACGTAGCAGTTATTCCATCATGTGGCACAAATGCTAACAATATAGAGTGTCGATAATAGCAAACAGAATTAATACCCGAGGACTAATTTTGCGTTGGTTTAGTCCAAGAGATTGCTTATCTAAACACTATCTCCTCATTATTAAATGCAAATTGCAGTCTATTTACTGTACCCAAAGGTTATAGTATATTTAAACATTATCAGTATTTATGCTTGTAGTCTAAACAATTCATATAACTTACAATAAGTATAATACCTAGCAAATTTATGCTTAGACTTTGTTGAAGCTTAGAATCAAAATCTTTTTCAATATTTTTTTCAATAAAAAAGATTTATTCTTCTAATATTTTAAGTTCATTATTTTTGATTAAAGAACACTATGTTTTTTATTAGCTTTTATTTGTCGAATTAAAAAAAAAAACAATTGATTCTAATTAACCTTAAATACCAATTTTGCTTTTATTCTTCATACTAAATATAAAAATGAGGTCTAAAATGGAAGTGTTGATAAAACACGTTAGTTAGTTGAAAAAGCAAATAACTTGGGAAGAACATTTAAAATAAGAACAACTCACAAACCTATTTTTAGAAAAAATTTTTAATTAAAATCAATATATTGGAAATTCACAAATTAATTTATATTCAAAAATACGTTTATTGAAATAATATTGATCATTTACTGCTAAAAGCTATTATATGTGAAACTTGAGTTCAGTTTAACATCAAAGTGTAATTAATTGTATAAATTTTACTTTAATCAATACATATTCTCATAGTAATAGTATTAATTTTGACTGTTTCAGGGAATGTGTGACATGTTCATCCAAACTCAGCAGACTAGCAGCGTCAACAGCAGCAGCAGCAGCAGTAGTAATAATACCGTTCACCATCACAACAAGAAGCGTAAGTTGGATTACAACGTCAGCCAGCCTGTAATCCAGCACGCATTGGTCCAATCGACCGGTGACTACCAATTGGACAATCCTGGCTTGCAACGGTACTCCGTGAGCGGTACCAACACCGCTTTCGGCACGCTGCACAATAATGCGCTGCAGAAGAGCCCGAATCAGCAGACATTGGTGCGAGCGTCTACTATCAAACTTTTAGACACGTACCAGCGCTGTGGCCAGAAGGTACATCATCAACTATCGATGATCAAACTTGTGGCTTAAACATTTTTTTTATTTATTCGATTTTTATTTACTTGATATTCAAATATCTGTTTTTGACTGATGATGTAAGTTCTGAGATTTTTTTTTCTTTCATCCAAAAAGGTTTTTATCAAATAATTACAGTAAATTTTAGTATACAAGTTTTATAGTTCAAATATCATTGAAGGCATTAAGACAGGTTATTTTTTTTTAATTATAATATTTAATAAAAATAGATATTGATATATGATATATCTCAATTTCTTGTTATGAGATGAAATGTTCTAGAAAGTGTAAAAATGTATTATTGATGGAGAATAGTTTTATTTATTTTATCTAAATTGGAGGAAAAATATTGTTTTTATAACCTCAATTTTAATCCGATATTTATTTATCCGAAATATTGAAGTTTAATGTTTAAGTAGTCAAGGTTCTTTGATAATGTTGATGAAAAATAATATGTTGTTGATAAAATAATTCATTTATTCATTGTTTAATAATGTAAATTGTTACCTTTCAAAATTCATATTGATTTTGATTATTTTATTTTCAAGTTGACAAGATATTGAATTAAAAATGGAATTAAAAATAACTTTTATAATATTGATAATATTGTTTTCTATATTATAAATTTGTTTTAGTATCCATTTATATGAGATAATTTAAATTTCAATCGAAAAGTTCAGTTTTGGAGCAATTGACAGATATAGGTTATGAAATAGAATACAAATTTAAATGTTTAAACCATGAATGAGAATATCTTTTTAGAAATTATAAATTCTTTATATTTCATTAATCATATTAGTTAACATCGGGAATATGTTGTATATAAAAAATGATTTTATTTAAAAATTTTAATCGAAATTCCATAAAATAACCTTTGTCAAGCCTTGATTGTGTACTTAACCTAAATTCTATGATATACAATAATGGAAAATATAGCGAACTTGTGCCTTAGTATAGTCTTTTCAACTAAAAGTCATTTTCTTATAAATTGTTTTTAAGAAATTGGATCAACCAATGCTTATATATACAAAAAATGATGACTAAACTGATAAAGAAAACGCAATTTTATATTTTTAAGTAAAAGAATTGAATACAAATGATAAGAAATCATCATCATCAGAGTATTTATTTAATTTCAATTAAAAATAAATTTCTAGTAAAAAAAAAACATGAATTCATTACAGAATTAACATTCAAAGTAACTAGTATTCCATAAGAGTTTAATTTTTTTTTACATGAAAAAAAGAGAAAAGTTATTCAAGTTATTTTATCAAAATACCATAGATTCGAATAAAGAAGAGTACTTATTTATTCTAAGAAAAGCACTTTACTCTTTGAATCTAAATTTTCTGACACTGAAGAAATATCTTTTCTATTCTATACTTTATTTTTTTTTATGATAATTCAAGTAAAAGAAGTTATTTTATCAGCTTTATTGTTTTACAGTATGTTATAAATTCTTAGATCAACTTAAGAGTTACAATGAATGATATCAATCTGTTGCACATAGATTACTTTTAGTTATTTAAATCTCTAGTAATACACAAAAGCAAAAACAAATATTTGAATTATATCTTGTGTTCGAAATGAATTTTTTCCATTTTGAAAAAATATTATTTTTAAAAAGAATGTTTCTAGTTAAGATAATGAATGTTGACGTATAAATGGCATGGTACGTGATATTGTTGATCATTTAAGCTATTTTTCATGTGTCAGCGAATTAATATCAATTAATTAATGACATAAAAGTTCCATAGTGGTTTAATATTCCCGTATGCTCTCATAAGCCTGTGATAACGTTTTCTCAGTCACGTTAACTATTGATTACATTCAAGGTTTCCTTTTCATATATCATGCCAGACACACGGTGATACGATGTGGCTCGATGATGGCGTACTATCCCAATAGAGTGTCATGCAAGTCAAAGAAGGCGACAGAGAAATCACTTGGTTCTTTATATCAAATGTATTAAAAATGTCATATATTGATGCTGAAAAAAGAAAATGAAATAACTGTCCAAAGAATAAAATCGGTTACATACTTGAATAGAAATTGAATTGAACTTGACAGTAAACTTATGATTTTACAGAGAAAGACTTGGTCAAGGGAAGGTAATGAGGTCCTGGCAGTCCAACCTACTAACCCAACCAATACAGTGGGCAGTACTGTAGTTCCTCAGCTTCATTCCCAACATCAACAACAGCAACAGCAGTCTGCGTTGCAACAACATCAGCAACAACAACATCAACATCCACAACAATCTCAACAGCAACAGCAACACAAGCAGACAGGCATGACGTCACATAGCAAACAAGTTGCCACTGCTGGCAATGGGGGTAGTAATCCCCAAGGTGATGGAGACTATCAGTTGGTCCAACATGAAGTTCTTTATTCTATGACCCATCAGTATGAGGTCCTTGAGTTTCTTGGAAGAGGTACATTTGGCCAGGTAAGCTATTCATCATATTTATCAATTGAAATTTCTATTTAAGCTTCAAAAGTCCACTTACTGTGTGTCAGCTTTTCTCATAAACTCTAGAATTGAACATTTTACGATTTTTATCTGAAATATTTATGACATAAAAAACTTACAAAAGGTTCCATGAAATATATCCTGTAAATCAGAAATATATTAATGAGATAGGTTTATTTTTAAAAAGAGATAAAATTATTGAAATTTCAAAGTTTACACTTAACTTATCAGAGTAAGTGGTGAAGTACTTTGATATTCAGTAGCGATCAAGTAATAAATTAAACATGATGAATAGAATGATTGTCAACTTTTGATAACACAATAGAACTACATGGAAAAAGATGTTCTGTTTTCATAACAGATTAAAGGTCTATTTCTAAAACAGTTAAAATTTTCTATTTATCTATAAAAATACTGCTTTTATTAATCACAGATATGTGATATCTTCGAACAACAGTTTATAAAATAATTTTTTTTCTCAAATTACAATGAGAAAATAGTTACTTACAGTCTGGCCTAGAGTCTGACCTATCCATAAGTATTAAATGTTTAACGGGATAATTATTTATGTGACTATTGATTAAAAAGTTTTGACCTAGGTTTATGCTATGATGGTGGTCATCATTCTGACCCATAGTAGAGAAATTTAATGTTTATTATCTCCGGAAAAATATCTAAAAACTTGAACTGTACGTAACAATTTAAAACCATTGATAAAGGTGATGATAATTAATAATTTATAGTAAGTTATTATGTACACTGTAATAGGAAATAAATTTACACAAAATAATACAACTTGAATTATTCACTCAGTAAAGATGAGATAATTACTCCAATATGTTTCATGTTAATTATTACATTCTGATAGTTGATTTTTTATTAAATAAACCGATCAAGTATTCCGATGCTTGATACACACACCATCAAGTCATTTATGTTCAATTTATCTCGTAAATTAGTTGGAGTATTGGATTCATTGTTACATTGTAATTTGAACAGTAATTTTTTAGACATAAAACCATGACTTCGTTTAAATTTTACAGTTAAAAATGAAAGTGTAATAGATATTATTGTAATATAAGTGAAATTTCTTACACCACAACAATATTTACTATGCTAATTAACTGGCTAACTTATTTCTTGTGGTTTCCAACACATAAAGTTGATAATTTTACAAACAATGATATTCATATCTACATGTACAAAAGATAATATTATTTATGAGAACGTTAAAATTTACGTTGAATAAGTTTTAGTTTTTTTTTAAATTTTGTTTATTTTCTTTCAAGTAAACTTTATTTATTACATATCTTCTCTATCTCAAAATGCTACTAATGTAAATTATCAAACAACCCGTATGACATTCTTACTTGTGCCTTTTTATATCGCATTTTTACATTAGCTTGAAATTTATATTTAGAGTGAGAAATTGGAGTTATGCTGCTCTTAAAGCATCAAAAAATATGAGTGTAAATTTTAAAAACTCAGTGAGAGATAGATAGTAGTAGATGTTGCAGAGAAAAATTCTCACTAATATTAAAGAGGAAAGATTTATCAATTCCATTATTTTATTCTTTTTTTTAAAATTGAATTTTTTTTTTAAATTCTTGAAATTCAATTATCAAATCAATAATAGAACTTTAAATGATGAATATTTACTAAATAAAATTTATTATTAATTAGGGAAATACTTTTAATGATACGTATATAAAATATTATAAATAAAGTGTCATACACAAATCAAGTTGGGTAAAATAAAAAACTTTTTATTACTTATCTTTTCTGAATCAAAAACACTAACGGGAATCTAAGAAATACACTAAATATTTTATCTTTTAAGGTTTTAATTAACATTTTCATTATAATTATCTAGTAGTTAGATTTTGAAGAATGATTAATAAAGCTTCGTTGATACATTTAAATTTCAAAGAAAGATGGATCGATACTGTAAAGACAATCGAGTCATTTTTTCCATTCATTATTAAATATGAGATTATTAGAAAACTGAAATAGAGTTAAAGAGAATGTAGAATGACCTTCTTTTCCCGGACTTGAGAGTATTTTCTTTCTCAACCTAATCAAGGACAATTATAAATGGTCATTGCCATATTAACAAATTGATTTCACTATTTTCAGGTTGTCAAATGTTGGAAGAAGGGTACTAATGAAATAGTTGCTATTAAAATTCTTAAAAATCATCCTTCATATGCGCGCCAAGGACAGATTGAGGTAAAGTTTTTTTTTTTTTTTGTTATAAAAAGTAAATGTTTTTTAACATTTAAATTGTGCAACTTATAATACTCATTTATGATTTACTGTTAATATTATTACCTAATGCTTATTTATAATTGATTAATTATAACAATAAATAATGTTTTCTCGTTATAATACGTTAATAATTCAATTTTTTGTATTATTTAGGTCTCCATCCTGTCACGACTGAGTCAGGAAAATGCGGATGAGTTCAACTTTGTGCGCGCTTATGAATGCTTTCAGCACAAATCTCATACTTGCTTGGTGTTTGAGATGTTGGAGCAGAACCTTTATGATTTTCTTAAACAAAATAAATTTTCACCTTTACCACTCAAGTACATTAGACCTATTCTTCAACAAGTGCTTACAGCTCTGCTCAAACTCAAGGTAAAAAACGAGAAAATAAATAAACAATACTTTTAAATAAGATGTCGTTACAATTAACAATGAAAGACTAAACTTGATGTTTCATAATATTGTTAAACAATATCTTTAAGTAAAATTAAAAGTAAAATAAAACAAATTAAATTTTCCGTTAATTTTATCAAGTAACTATATGAATAAGTTCTATACTTTATTTATTTCGTTAAAATAGTTTAACAAATTTTCTGGATTTTATTAAAAAAAATTTCTAGATTTAAATTAAATATATTTCGATGTAGATAATTTTTTTTCGTCTCTTTTGTTGAAGCTAATTAAATTGAAAGAAATATTTCTACAGCTTTTGAAATTACTTGATTTTATTTACTAACTTTATTATGAATAAAAAGTTTTATGATTATTGTTTAATAATGATTTTACTTTATTATCAGTTTTTATATCGTTCATCATTATGATTATTTTATAAAAATAATCTAACTTATTGATTATATTTTTTTTACAGCAACTGGGATTAATTCATGCCGATTTAAAACCAGAAAACATCATGCTTGTCGACCCGGTACGACAACCATATCGCGTAAAAGTCATCGACTTTGGTTCCGCCTCCCATGTCTCCAAAGCAGTGTGCAATACCTATCTGCAGTCGCGATACTACCGAGCACCGGAAATCATTCTTGGACTCCCCTTCTGTGAAGCTATAGATATGTGGTCGCTTGGTTGCGTTGTCGCCGAGTTGTTTCTCGGTTGGCCCCTTTACCCTGGAAGTTCAGAATACGATCAAATACGATACATCAGTCAAACTCAGGGCCTACCTACTGAACATATGCTCAATAATGCCAGTAAAACGACCAAATTTTTTTACCGTGATATGGATAGCACTTATCCATTTTGGCGGCTTAAAACACCTGAAGAACATGAAGCAGAAACTGGCATCAAGTCTAAAGAAGCAAGAAAGTACATTTTTAATTGTTTAGATGACATCGGTCAGGTGAATGTACCAACTGACTTAGAAGGTGGTCAATTACTTGCTGAAAAAGCTGATAGACGTGAATTTATTGATCTTCTCAAACGAATGCTTACAATGGACCAGGTAGTAATACCTAATTCATCATAGATATAATTTAATATTGGATTAATATAAAAATCTTTCGTTCTATAAAACATTTATTTTATCAATAAACTGATAAATTGTTTTAAAATAAAATATATTAAGTGTTTTTAATGTAAATGCCATTAACAAACGATATAGAAAAGTGCACTTATTTTTCAACAGTTTTTGGAAATTTTAAATAGTAAAAATTCCATCATTTGTTCATGGCATTTTACATTTTTCAAACACTTATATCTACAGTAATGTTGTATGCATCAGTGAACTCACACAAAGTGAAAAATTTTTTTATTTTAGAAAGTTGAAATATAAAAAAATCTCCTATATTTCGAGATTATTATAGTTCAAAGATTATTCATATTGATCCAGTATGCAACAATACATTTTGCTGATATTCTAGCATCATATCTGTTAACTTGGAATTACAGGAGCGTCGTATAACACCCGGAGAAGCTTTACATCATGCGTTTGTAACTCTGGCCCATTTAGTGGATTATGCTCACTGTAATAACGTGAAAGCATCAGTGCAAATGATGGAAGTTTGTAGACGAGCGGGTGATTTCACCGCAAGCCCAGCTCATCATCAAGCACCTCCAGCACCTCAACCACCTCCACCTACCTCTCTTGTTGCCAATTTTGTCCCAACGACAAATGGTAGTGCAGTTACCCTGACTTTTAACAACCAGCTGACCAATCAAGTCCAAAGATTAGTGAGGGAACATCGAACTGCACCAACGGGCTATGATAACTTGTATCAGATTTATAGCAACAGCAGCCGCAGGGCAACTCAATATAGTGGATCGTCAAGTGGGTCTAATAGTGGAAGGAGTGGAGTTCATGATTTTCCACATCAACTTGTCCCTGGAATATTATGTCCACCGCCTGGATACCAAACAATGCCAAGTCCAGCCAAGCACGTTGTAGTGGCTCAGGTGACTATTTCAATTTCAATTAATTTTCATCATAAACCCTATTCATAATTTTCATAAGAATAATTAGCTTTGAGTTCAACAGTGTGATTAAAGATACATTTATTGTTCAATAGAATATACTTCGTACGTTGATGTCAACGTTGATATCAAAGTTCAAATATTTAAACTTCATTATGTAGGCTGTTACTGAATAATATTAATATATTTAGTTTTCAAACACCGTTTTTAAATACGGTTTTTTTTACACATTAAATAATTGATTACTTAATCTAAAATTCATCTAATAATTATAAGGTTCAATTTCTTTATGCTGGAAATCAATATTTCCATAATAATGTCTGCAGTGCAATTATTCTTGATTGCGCGTCTCTAAGTATAGTTAATGGTTCTTAAGATCATCAATTTAATTAGTTAGATTTTGTGTAATTAGAATGTTTTTGAAGTAAAAAACCAAATGATCTGTAAATCATTTCGTGTTAGTTATTGGGACAATTATTCTACTGTCACAAAAAAGCTCTATCGAATAATGACGCAAGTACTGATTTTTTATTGGTTTTGTTATTTAACTTGTTATTTAACATTCAGCTCGTGTTTGATTGTACGTCAACGAAAGTAACTACAAATAAAAGTACCAATATGCGGTCATTTAGTCAATGTTGATTTTTATTATTGTAACAATAAAAACATTTACATTTATTTTTTTGTTATTCATAAAAATTCATTTAGACGGTGATAAAATTGAAATTTTTATATATTAGAAACATAATGATTATGAAAGGTCACAAGAGATATTTTTTTAAGAGATCCCTGTTTTAAAATAACTAAAAATTTTTTTCCTTTTATTTTAAACTTTATATAATAAAACAGTAAGCATGGTTAAGCTCAGAGCTTTAGCTTCTATTCTGAACGTGGATCGATGGGAGACTGAGAAATTCTACGATTAATCTACCTCTGTATGTGTACGTGACCCTGATCATCAAACATTTTTTGATAATCCATCTGACAATAAATCGTCATAGCAAGCGAGCTTTTATAAACTATAAAAAAATATTTTAGTTATTTACTTGCTTATTTATTCGAGATTTTACAATCGATCATAACGGTTTGTTGATAATAAAGAATATAAAAAAATAATACAAATATTTGTAACAATTACTCTAATATTTAGTTTTAAAATATTGATAACAATATCGATTACAATAAAATGTGATTTAAAAGCTTTTTCTTTCAAAGATTTTAATTTTTTGCATCAAGTTGACATATTTTTGTTCATATCTTTCCTATAATAGAGAAATTTAACGAATAATATTCATAAATATATTTTTTAGCCACCACAAGCTCAACAAGCACCACTGCAAATTCAACCATCGATCATTTCCCAACAAGCAGTTGCTGCAGCTGCAGCAGCAGCCCAGCAACAATATGCAGTTCCGGTATCGATGGTGGAAACGGGTCGCCAAATGCTATTAACTGTAAGTATCTATAAAAATATAAAATAATGAGTTATATGATTTATATCTTGAATCTATAACTAAAAATTTCATTTGATTCCATCACCATTCCGCGTGTACATAAGTATCCCACGGTCGAATTACAGAATGCAGTACAGACATCATGGCCCGGTGGTAGTCGACAAATGGCAGCAATTGTGCCATCATGGCAACAATTACCACCTCAACATGCAGCCATTCAACAACCTCTTTTAAGTGACGCCGGTGATTGGGGAAGACCATTGATTGTCGATAGTTCTGCTATTCTACAGGTAAAGTATAATTTAATCTCCTAATAAGAAATTTTCATTTACTCTTCTTCATTATCCTTTATCCTGTCCTGGTTCATTTTCCAAGATTGCACCAAGTCTAAGTGCTGATGAAAAAAGAAGTGCGTTCACTTGGATATTGGATTCTGTAGAATAAAGATTGAAGACTTGAGTTTTAATGAATAATTGATTAAAAATTTTACCAAGTCTATCCTTTCTGAGTTCCTTAATTTCCTGATTCCTAAATTTTAATCTGAAGAATGTGTTTGTTTGTAAAACTGGGATTCTATTTTGACATAAATGAGTGAATAAATGCATATTTTAAATACATGGCAATTCAATTAATTTCCCTTGTTTTGGGGAAGGATCAGCGTCCTGTGTTTCCTGTAACTGAAGTCTACAACACGAGTGCTTTGGTGGAACATCCATCACAAAGTTGGAGTAAACGTAGTGTGGCTAAACATCATCAGCATCATTTGACAGTACCTCAACAATCACAACACAGGCATGAGCATAAGAAAGAAACACAACAACTTAGTCCAGTGAAGAAGAGGGTTAAAGAGAGTACACCCCCAAGTAGCATGAGAAGATATTCACCATCTAACGGACATTGGCAACAACAACCAGTACAATCTCATCACCATAGTGGCAAACATGCTAGTAATCATAATGTAGAGCATCAGCAAGTTGCTGCTGTTAGACAGCAGACTATCACTATTCATGATACGCCTTCGCCTGCAGTGTCTGTTATCACTATCAGTGATAGTGAAGATGAAACGCCTGGAAAATGGTGAGTCTTTTTTTGTTTTCGATATTCCGTAGTTTCGAGAGCTTGTATCATCATATTGAACCAATATTTATTCAACATATATCGAATATACTTACAAACGAAAAAAAAAATCCAATTCAATATGGATAATAGATGTTATGTATTTTTTTATTCCAATATTTTCTACAAATAATTATTTCCAGTTATTATTATTTAATTTATAATTTGATAAAATCGTCAAAAATAAGTCAGATTTAGATCTACCTTATTTTGAGATAATAAAATCAACGAAAAATGTCAAGATTTTGAAGTAATTGATGAATGAGGTAGAAGCAAAGTTAAATCTTAATAAAAGCAGTGTAGAATCATGCATGAATATCATTGACAGCTGTGGAGATCATCAGTGTGGAGCTTGTCAAAGTTTAGCACCTCGCCTGTCTGGCGATGGACGCCCAGTTCGCGAGGAAATCATCCGAAGGTATAATAACATGATGAAATAATACGCCAACACATGAAACTTGCATTATATCCTGTAACTAAGTAACTCTGGTAAAATTACACAGAGTTGTACAACTGTTAATTGCCATAGATTATAAATCTATCCTTATCATTATTATTTTTTGTAAAAGAAATAATACTCTAGTGTTATCCGATTTATGAGGCAAATAATCTAAGTAATTTTAATTAGTTTACTACATTTTAAAGTTTATTTTCTTTATTACTGTCTCTTATTCATTCGAAACTTATCATTGTAATTTATTCTTACCTTATGTAAGATGAGCTTAATTTCATTAGAATCTGATACTTCAATTAAATGTAAATGCAATAATTAAATTAATTGTTAATATTGAGTTCAATAGTTTAAAAAATCAGATTTATTGATTAGTTTTTTTAATTGGCATATTGAATTGGTAAACTTACAGATTGGATAGGTTTTGAAATTATTTATCAGTTAAAGAAATAGTAGTAATTATTATTATTAATATTCCTATATTTACGTACGTATTACTCTGTGTAATATCATGTAAATTGTTTTTTATCTAAATAATTTGCTTAAAAAAAAAAGCAGCGCCTAATAATTCTACACTTTCGCTGGTTACTTAGAAATCTGGGTGTGGAGAATGGAGTAAATCTTGCGAAACGATAAACTAACAACGACGTCCCCAATAACCTGTTCCTTTCTCACTTTTATAGTGGTTTATTTATTCCCTTATCAATCTATAATAATTGCAGGAAATATATTTTTCGCTCATAATTAATAACAATGACTGTTTATGGTTTTTTATGATCAATTATTATGATATTTATCTGCAACCATATTTTTCCTGGTTGTGGTATCGCCAATGTTAAATAATATTAAATTATTTCTCTTCCATTGGTATAATTGTTTAATGGAGAATTATTTTTTCATTTTAGCACACAATCGACTCCAAGAATTGTACAAAATTCGCAGCCTGTGCATTCTACAAGCAACCAATCTCATAGTAATGGTCATAATAATTCTCACAGTACAACAAGGGTCCAACGTAAAAATGTCATCAGCTGCGTTACAGTAGGTGATAGTGATGGCGAATCAAGTCCTGGAAGAGCTCATGCTCATTTGTATCAACAAGCTCATTTATCTCAACATTCACAACATCAACAAACAACACAGCATATCAAACATGAACCTCAGCCTCAACATCATGTTAGGTAATTATCATCGTATTTTTAATTCGCATTTAGGAATTTTTTTTTTTCAAATGTCTGGTTTTGTCCACACTTTTCTGTTAAATATTAAAACATGTGAAAAGTTACTGTTTAATAAAAATTTCAAAAAGAAAGTTCTAAATTTTTAAAAAGAATTAACAAATAAATATTCTTTCAAGGTAGTGATATTTAGTTGACGGAATGTAAAGTGTCTATTTTAAGCCTTGTTTAAAATTCTTTTAAACTAGATAGGTTATAACCTACCCTATATGTCACTTATAACCTACAAAACTTTTATGACAATCAATTGTCATTGTCTTAGATATAAATTTTTTCATTTATTACTTTTTTTTATTTTTTTTATTTATAGTTCCGGCTATTCTTCTCAATCACAAAAGAAACGATTACTGGCAAAAGTTCAATCCGAATGTAACATGATAAATGTCGCAACGAAGCCGGAGCCTGGCGTTGAGTATCTTGCTCCACATCCATGCCACGCGCCAGCATGCAAAGAGCCACCGACCTATCAGGTAAAATAAATATCAACGGAACAACATACAAAAACGTAAAAAAATATTTTCAATTTACTCTAGAGCTTTAGCATTTAGTTGAAAAAAAAAATTACAGAATCATCAGCTAATTCAGACATACTAGGAAATTGAAAAATCATTTTTTTAATTGTTGTTGGGTAATGTTTTTCTAGGATGATGCCTATGATATGCATAACTACTTATTGCAGTATGTGACCACGAGCAGCGCGCATCCGCATCTCCAAGAACAGCATATTGTCTACACAACTAATGCGGATAAACGTGTCTCCTGGCCGGGCAAACGTGCAGAGTATAAACATGAATATGTACAACCACCAGCCGCCCATTCTAGAGATCATCAAAAGTGGACAGTGGCTAATCCAGTACACCAATACAGGTAAGCTGATGATGCTTAGAATTTAAACGCGTGCTTACGTGTCTAAGCATGCAATTTGCATTCGGTAATTGATTAGTGCACGCGTTTTATTTGAAGATTATTATCTTAAAGATTGATCGTGTTAGCAAGTGCGCAAACCCTCACATAAGTCGTTGATATTAATTGACACGCTTGCACTTGCTACCATCGAATCTTTTTTTATTATCTTTTCATTTTCTATATCATCTTTTATTTTTTATTTTTTTTTATTTATTTCACTTTTTCAATTTAAAGAATTACCACTTGAGAAAAAATGCCATTAGTTAATGGCGAAAGATAAAATCATATTAAATGCCATTTCAAAATTGATTGAAATTTTATTCTTTTACATTATACATTGCTTTTATCTCTTTATTTTATACAATTTTTGAAAATACATTTAAAAATAATGTTGACGTTACTTTATATTTAAAAATGGATTATTTGTATTGAAAAGCAAATTTACATTGAGTTCATTTCAGTTAGTTACATAAATTTAATAAAAGTGGTATTCTTTGAATAAATTGATTATATTTATTTATTTAAGCTGATTTGTATTGTATAAATGTACTTATTGATGGGCATGAGAATTGCATAACAAGGAGAACGTCTTGGTACGTTGGGTTTTGTAGGCAGAGCCAGGTGGTAGGTTCGGCACCGCATCCGGGTCATAGCCACAGCCACCATGGACACCCGGCCCACCTGAGTCCTGGTGGTGGTGGTGGCGGACGAAGTCCCGCGAGCGGCACGGTGGTAGGGAGCACCCAACACCTGGGGCAACCCCTTTACCAGGAGTACGCGCACGTCCGTTCGCGGGCTCATCCTGTACCGCCACCCGTTTATGTAACCGCCGCACCCTCGCAGGCTCCCGCTGCAATCCAGCAGCAACAAGTGCCCACCTACCAGGGATTCACACCCGGGTGGGTACCTAGACACCTAGTTGATGCATGCATGTGTGTACCAATTTATTATTATATATTTTTATTATAGTAGTTAGTAGTTAGGATTCTTTCAAATCATTCATTTGTAGTTAATCGATTGATTACTTTATTTTAGTTACAATTCTTTCAAGTTTTTTATTTTATTATATTTTTTTTTTTTTTTCAAATTTATTTATATCTCTGGTTATCAATTTATTTATTTCAATATTATTTGTAATCAAATCATCTTAGAGAATAATGATTTCAAAAAAAAAATACGATGCAAGCATTTGATAAATTTTTTTAATCTATTTTTTAATCAATAAAGAATAGTGCTTGCTTCTGAATGCGGTAGATTGTTATTATTGCATTTTATATAGAAAAAAAAAAAGGAAGATAAATTAGAATAAATCTCTTCACGTAGAAAAAGAGTTTTTTACTTTGAATAAATTTAAAGTATAATGAAACAAGAAGATGAAATTCTGAATAAGTAATTGAGAATAGAATCTTTCCTTCTTTTTATCAAATAAAATTGAGAAAATAATCTTGAGTTAGAATTATTTATATCATTTTTATATAAAATAAGTATTTGCAAATTTTATATTTATAGTCAAATAAGTAAAAAGCTCTTTAAAAAAAAATTATAAAATTAATTTACTTATTCTGTTATGAAATAGATATTTAGTTTTTTTTTATATCAAAGTAGTCTTTTAAAGTTGATAAAATATTATTATTATTTCTATGTGAGGAGAAAAAAAGTTATTATTTATTAATAAATTACTTTAAGTAATTTAATATTTTTTCTTTTACAGATTTATAGAAGAAATTTTCTAACCTAGCCTTATTCCATTTTTTCAGCTCGTCACCACTAACATTGTATGATTCTAGTCGCGCTTTACCTCCACCAGCGCATCACAGTTCGGCAAGGCCATTATTGGCGAGCCATGCAGCTCATCCACTACCTGCACACATGCAGCCAACAGCCGTTTATGGTCTTGCACCACTGTCTCCAGCGAAACATCAATACCAACCGTCCGGCTTGTGGTTCACCGAATAATCAACACGAGGACAAGTTGAAAAAGTATAAAGATTTAAAAAAAAAAAAATAAGACGGAGAAATGAGTGAGAACTTTTAAATGAAATATACAAATACTTTATGTTGTATAAAGTGGATGTGAAAAACGTAAAGAATTTTTGTATTAAAAAAAAAAAAAAGACTTAGATAATTTTATTGAAGAAAAAGAAAAAAATGTAGGTCTTTTTTTTTAAATGAGGGTTTACATTTTAAGTTTCTCATTTTCTCTGACGCAATGCAGCATAACGTTAGGCTTTATTGCAATTTTAAACTTATCTAAACTCGGATGTGTACATTTTCTAAAAGTCTAAAATCATCTTTTAAATGAATAACTGATAAAAGCTTCATCAATCCGTCCTGTGTAAAAGTTTATCTATGACTGATTAATTAACTAATTAATTAATGGTTCAAAAACTTTATTACTTAAAGTGTATACTCTCAAGTGAAATCATTGATGGAATTTTTGATAAAAGTTTCTCCACTTTATTCAACTAAAGTAGTCAAATATTAACGAACCATATCGTTATTATGAACGATAAAATAATTGATAATTAAATTGACACGCATGTGTATTTGAAAGCACCGACTTGCTGATGAATCGTTGACTTGGAACATGACATTATAAGAGAAGAAAAAAAAAATGGACGATGCAGCGTCAATTGAGAAAAAAAACGACATTTTTAAGAGATTGAAGTTTCTAATAAGGATCCTAGAATTTATTTTCAATGGACTATTGCATTTTTTTACACAGTAGCACTTTTTATTAGTGTGAATGTGTATTAAGTTAACTTAAATAGAAGTTAACTATTTAGATAAAAACTAAGATGAATTATTTTTAATGATTTAAAAAAATTCATCAAACGATTAAACGTATAAATTATTATTATTTTCTCAACGAAATCGACTTGATTATTTATAGATTAGCTTGTCTGATTTCAGCATATTAATATTTAAGAATTATTTTCAAGCAGGTCTATGATATTTTTGTGCGAGAATTTATTTAAATATTACCTCGAAATTATTATATTAAAAATATTTCTTTAGATTAGTTTAAACCGATTCCATAATACAAAATGTTATTTTAAATGAAATTAACTGTCAAATACGGTGTTTTGAGGCCGGGTAATAGTGACTTTATCGTACAAAAATGAACATGCTTATCTAAAGTGGGGTTTTATAGTGAACAAAAATAAATAACTTACTATTGCCGAATGTTGCAAACAAAGCCAAGGTTGCCAATAACAAGTGCTGTGCCTTATGGAATACAGCCTGGCTATTTATCACAATTATTCGTAGAATAACAATTCATCATTATTTCTTATTCATTTATTCTTTTTTGTCTTTATCATCATCGAGGATTATATTATTTTCATTATAATCATTCTCTTTTCATCATATTTGCTCATTTAATTATGTAATATTGTAAATAGAATTTTGAATTTTACAATTGAGAAACATGTTACACTATTTAGACAATTTTGTGAAAATACAGTAGATTTTTTTTATTATCACGCTTATTCGGGTTTGAAGAAAAAAAAAAAACGAATTTTATTTATTATAAGTTGTAAAAATGGTAGATAATCAATTAATTTTTTTTTTTAATTCATGTAATATATAAATATAACAATTGTACATTGTTTTAATGAAATTTTGAAATAACGGAATTACGATGAAAATAAGTTCAGAAATTAGAAGCAATTTTGCACTGAATTTTAATCTAAATTCGCAATTCAATAATAACTCAGCATGATCTAAAATTACAATTATTGTAAATATGAAAAAAAAACTTTTATTGATAATTGAATCAATTTCAAATAATGACTTGATATTTAAATAGGTGTATTCTTCAGACTTAACAACATTATTAATGCATGCTGATTTCAAAAAATGAAAAAAATTAATTGTTTATTAACAAAATAAACATGCAAGAAAAGGTTAAAAATTCATGCAAAACACAAAAATAAAATATTATTTAGGATTTTGATTAATAATGATTTATATTATTATATTATTTGTAAATATTTTTGCCACAGTAGTGAATAATTAATTGCAAGACCTCAATTCTTATTCTAATCATGTTCTTCCCTCCACCGAATGAATATAAAATAAAATCACGGTAATAAAAATTTTTGTATATTGTTAAAAAATAAGAAAAAACAAAAATATTTAAAATAATTAACTTTCTTATGAAATTTCATAAGACATACATTATTCTTGTATAAGCTTGGTTTTAAAACGTGATGGGTTAATTAATTAATTTATTTATCTATCTTCCCACTTTATTATTAGTGTAAATTAGTTATTATTATTGTAATTATTTCAATCTCATTATAAATTTCGACATTATATATTATATACATCTAATTAATTTTTTTTAAAATTGATCAAATGGTTTAAACCAAACTTTACATTTTGTTGTTTATCAACAAAAATGAATAATTTTAATAAAATTAATAATGGTGATTGAAATTTATTTGTTATAAAAGTATTTTTAAATTAAAATTAAATAAAAAGAGTATTAAGTTTCACCGTAATGACACTTAAACAATTAATTCACTAAGTCAGTTTAAAAAAAAATTTTTTTAAAAAATGATCATGTTTTAGCTTTAGCATAGAGCATTGAAAACAGAGGGAAATTATTTCTTAATTACACAATAGAATAAACGATATAATGCAAGTAGCTAATTAATTTATCATAATAATTTTCTCTCTTTATAGTTTTACTGACAAGAAAATTTATGTTAAACTTGAGAAGGCTCTTTTATCAGTAAGACTATCTGTTTTATTTACATGTGTTACAGAATTACCTTTGTTTTAAATAATTCTTTTATAAAAAATAACGAGCTCTCTCTTCCAGAAAAAAAAACAAATCGAACTATATCAATGATAAGTTATTAAAGTAGTAAAATAACTTTTAAAAGATAAAATAAATCAATATTTAATATTTTCTCTGCATTCATTTCTTGTGAACAAAGATAGATTAAATTTGATCTAACATTGAGTATACGTATTCTATCAACGTGTTATTATTATGATTTATTAATATTATTATTATTTTTATTATTATGATTAATATTAATCAAGAAAACTAAAAAAAAAAACAATTGTAATACTATATCACAGTAAGAAAAAAAGAAAAATACAAAAAAATAATAAATATTTAACCAAGTCGATGTGCCTGTTTGACGATTTATCGTATTAAATGTATATGCTAGAGTTGAAAAAAAAGTAACAAATTTCGATGGAATTCGCGTTTATTTATATACTCGCATTGTCATGTTGTGTGTCGTTCGGTTAGTACTTGACTCGTATATCAATTTTACAATTAACGCACTCGTGTTAATATGCGTATATGCTTTTTACAAATATCCTTATAATGTTTATATTACTGTGTAGTTGTAAACAGGAAACTTATACGTAGATTGTGTATAAGTCACTAAGTCAATTTATGTTAGACTTGCACGTGGGTTTATTCCGAATTTAATCTATTCTTTTTTTTTAAACTTTTTCTTCAAATTCATTAATTTATGGTAATAGTCAATTATAATTGCATTATTTCAATTTTTTCTATTGATTTATTTAATTATTAGTAAAAAAAAAAATATGTACCCTTATTTATTATTTACGGGTCACGAGTATACTAAATAATCGATAATTATTTTCAAATAATATCTAAAAATGAACATTTGTACGATTTAAATGAATACTTAATACTGTTTTTTATCGTACAATAAATAATTTACAGCTTTCACAAGTTTGGTATGAAAAGAATAAATAATATTGTGAATTCAATAAATTAATTAATAATAATAATAACAAAAAAAAATACTGTAACTGTATCAATGGTTCTAGTTGTGATATTTTATTAATATATAATTATAATTATTAATTAATAAGTATAGAGAATAATTAAATGATGAAATTTATAAGATTTTATATCTTATAGATTGCTTGATTGCCGTGGTATGAAAGGGAAATAGATTTAGTAAATATTGTCTCATAACTTCAATGAGAGACACATTTTCAAATTTTGTACATAGTTTTTCTTAATCTAACAATTTAAAATTTTCAGTAGACTTATAGATGTAGTGCCTAAAATTGTAACGGCGAAAATAGACCCGATGACAAAATGAAAGAGATTTTAAACTAATTCTAATCGAAAATTAAATAAGTAAAAAGACTATCTGGATTTTTTTATTATTTAATACGTTAAAAATAAAAAAAAATAAAAAATATCAAATGGAAAACTAAGTAATGTAAGTCATCGGAATTTTATAGTACACCAGTGGGGAACATTAAGCAAAGTTATTGTATGTGTAAATGAAAAAAATTTCTATGGTCAAATAGCTGAATTAAAAACTAATTACAATAATAAAATAAAAAAAGAAAAATTGATTAGTCGTCACATTTTATGAGTAGTTTACAAGAATTATCATTCTAATTAAAAATGATCAAGACGTTTTGGAATATAGCTGTAGTGACATACAAACAAAAAGATTACCTATTTTTCGAGTTCGTAGAAGGTATATTATAATTATAATTCAGTCTTCTCTGGTAGAATTTTAGATGTTAGTATATCTAAAAAGCGTGAATTAAACTCAATTGAGTTGTTCACTATAAAATAAGAGTGAAATAAAAAGATTATTCAGCATAATAATATTTAAAAAAAAAAAAAAGTAATTTGTTATAAATAAGGATCTATCGCCTAAATTCAACATGGACATAATGAATAAATTTTTAAAAAGTAATGCGAATAAATATAAAATAAAAATTTGCAATAAATAAAGAAAGATAATTTGCATCATTTTTGCACAACGATAATGATCCTTTTGAAGCACGTTTAGTATTTGGTGTTGACTGAAATAAAGATTTGTAAGTTATATGTAGTTGAAGATATAGTTACTAACAATGACAATATGGACGCACAGGTGATGGTTGGAAAGGATAATAAAAATCAATGTGTAATAATTAATCAAAATGAAACAATTTTTTCTAATTAACATAATGGCATAATATACATAATTGTAATAACAATATAAAACGAGGCTTCATTATTTGGTAACTACATGCCCTCGACATAAATAAGTATAATACATCTTACAAAGAAATATTAACTTGCTAATGTTATACTTTTTTTATTCAGTTAGTGGTGATAAAAATGCCTCACATTAATAAAAAGACTTATAGTACTTGTTCTAGAAATTATTACAAAGATTAATACAGAATAACTTCCTACTGGGAAGTTAATAAAAAGATAAATCAACTCCAAGATTCAACCGTCCGCGTTCCACTGTAAATAATAATTAAGCTTGCCAACATTATTTGTATAAATTAGTTTAACTATGTTTTTTGCATTATTAAATATGTCCAAGTGTTCCATGTAAGAATACGGCGATAGTTATATTTATTTCTTTGCCTGTAAATAAAAATAATAAATAATTGTGATTATAATAAATTAATAAAACAATTAAGCCCAATTTATAAGAGTTCTTTTGTATTATCATAAAAAATAGTGTTAAAAAATTTAATATACGGCAAAGAAATAAAATATAAATAAAAAATTCAAGGATTAATCCACTACCTGACTGTTCTTCGATGTTCTTTAATGTTCAATACTAAGTCGTTAGTAACAATTTTAATAATAAAACTTTAAATAACATATTTACTTCATT